AGATGGGCGGCGACCATGTCTGCTGCTGCAGCCGAGATCTCTGCAATGCCAACTTCACAGAGGCCCTGCCCACGGCCGACACCCCCGCCCTGAGACTGATAAAGCCTGATGGGCGGAATGATGGACAGACAGGTGAGAGGGTAACAGCCACTGGACTCTTTGGGGAGACCTGGGACAAAAGTGCCACTTTTTATTTTTAACACGATTACATGAGATTGAATATATACTCTGATCATATTTCATGTGATGACACTTACACATGTCAGCTACCAATATTCACAGACATTTTTGTGAACAAGTGAATGACCCTGAAGTACTCTTGCTTTAAATACAAGTCACACTGTACTTTTGTCCCTGCTCATCGGGTCAGAAGTACCTCTGGTCAAAAAGTACAGAAAGAGTAAGGTAGCCATACTGTATATTTCTGTTCTGTAGATGTGTGTAAGGATTGTAATGATCCTCCATGCTACACTTCTAATCCTATAACTTGGTCTTGGCCAAGCCACACACATTTAACATGTTAACTTATCTTTGGACAACGCGTTTTGGATTCCCCTGGATGTATGTGTTTGCTGGCTCTGATCTCGGACTGTTATACCGACCGTGAGTTTTGTGTTTCCACCGTGTCTTGTATGGTTTATAACATAACAATGAAAATACTCAACTAAAGTACAAGTATCTCAAATTTGTCTTTAAATGTAAATACATCCCTTTTTTTTTAGGTTCACACAAACCAACATAGACTTTTGTTGGCATATGATGTCCATACAGGTGATTTTCCCAACAAAACTCATATGTCATGTCAAATTTAGCTCATTTCTGTCAGTTTGGGTTTGAAAGTTTTGCTGAGTCCTCTGGCTTCTCCTTAACTGTGACAACACAGAGGCTATTCTGAGGTCATTTTGGTCGCCTCCCTGGCACGCAGCAGTTGGAGCAACACCAAGTACATTAGCATCAGTATGCCTGATAAGAGCTGAAAAACAATACTGTGTATGAAGGAGACTTCCTCCTCAGCAGACCAAGATTAAGACATACAGTACTTTGTTGTCCTTTTAGGGACATCGGTCTTAGGTTCAACATCACTGCTTGATGTTTATTACCAACCATGCTTAACAGCATCCTTATCAATTCATGACTAGGACACATTGTCAGTCTATTCCATACAAACACACAATAAAATAACTCCGATATAAAACTAAAGCTGCTGACAGAGGCAGTAAACACAGTAAACAGGCTCGCTGATATCGCAAGGATGCACTCATGTAACCTTGGTTATACGTAGCTCCTCCAACAGCCTCCTCGCTCACTCCTCAGAGCAGAAATAAGAGGTCTGGGATATCCCTCATCACAGCGGACTGGAATGACTTCCAGGCCGAGCGAGGCTCAAGGATCGAGGAACAGTAATTAAGGGAATTGGGAATCGCCTACTGTCTGAGCTCCACCAGACTCCCTGTCAATCCATCAGAGGAGAGTCATGGATGCTGCACTGAGCATGCATAGTCTCTGACCCATCATCACATGTGATGTTACGAGGCCATGACTCCTCTACTCCCTTGCGCCTCTGTAGCATTTTGGTACATATAGTGACAGAGAGGCTTTGAGCAGAATGTGAGCGTGGTGTTACCCTTTTGGTGCGGGAGAAAAGGTACTGCAGTTCCTGCACTTAGAACCTGCTGCTTTGGCCTGATGGCTGCACTTGTCTGACTGAAACAGAGCCCTTAATAATCTGGAACAGAGAATCCCATTTATAATAAATAGTGGAGGAGTGAGTTGTTGGAGTTGTGTCAGAAACAGACTTTGAAATTTAATCACAGTTAATGCAGAGAGGAGGAGGAGGATGAATGATGAAGACAATAGCGCAGACAATCTGTATTGATCCATGAATGTGTGTGGTAAATCTCTGCCTCTTCTTCAAACTGCCCTGATCTAATGTCACTGATGATGTCACCATGATGTTAACGATGACATCATCATCCTACAGACCACCAGCCACTCAGGCGGGAGGAGACGGCCCTCATTGCTCTGGTAACCGTTGCCATAGCAGCCATCCTCATCATGGCACTGTTTGTGGGATACCGCCTGATGAAAGGTACACACTTTGAACACAAACGTGACATGCGAATAATAATGATAGTAATTAATACTAAGTGTGTGTTTGTGTCTGTTCAGGAAAGAAGAAACTCAGGCTGTCTGCTCTGAATGTGATGGAGGCAGCCTGCACAGAGTCTCCTGTAGACCTGGAGAACCTGAAGCTGCTAGAGGTAAATCTCACCCGTGCCAGAGTTAGAAGGTGAAGGTAGTTGACTCACTAGTGTCATGACGGGAGTAGTGAACAGGCATACTGGGCACAGACCCAGGGCCCTTTTACCAGATCCCTACAAAAAACAACCACAAATGCTATGTTTCCATTATAGGAACCTAGTGAGTGGTACACCCCTTACTTCCCTTAACCATCACCAAGTGTCGCCTCCAGGGCTGACGCCACCCATCCTGCTTTGTTTCTCCACTGTATTTTCTCTCTGTTGGTCTCTGTTTAGAAGAGGGAGGGGCTGCTCCCCCCTCACACACACAGTCAGCTGTGTGTTTACACACGGTGCTTGTAATGCTAAAGCCTGAGGTGTGAAGATTGCTCTGCGTGCACACACACCCTCCCCCTCACAGTCCTGGTACTTGATTTTAGTACTACCTCCGGTACTACCTGCTCCCAGAATGCACCTCCAAAGCGGGCACACTGTAGTGCTAACAAAGCCAGAACCTGTGATGAGTGTTACTGGGCGTGACACATTTCAGTTGGTTCCTATAATGGAAAAATTACTAAAGAGACTCTCAGCAACCACAAAAAGAAGTAATATCACTTAGACAAAAAACAACTACAGAGACTCAAAACCACCTCAAAGATGAGATGCCCTCATTTTTAGGCCCCTACATTTCCCCAAATGCACCTGGATAGTGTTTTTCATGAGAGCCCCCCTGCCTTCTAAAACCTCAAATCTCAATATACACCTGTTATCAAATTCTCAGTTGGAACTTTCAAAGTAAAGGCTAATAGATTGATCTTGTCAAAATGTGTGGCTTGTCCCTTTAATCAAAGAGGCAGGGCCACCAAACCACATGGACAGTATATATAAATAAAAGAGTTAAGGCAAATATTTAAAGTTGTCACATGATATTTGCCTGTTAGGGTAAATACAATATAAACAAATGCTGTAAAGGCTGAATGCTAGAACCTACAGTTGAACCCTGAGGAACACCAGCAGTCTAACAAACCTTTCTGCCCTCCTTTCTGGCAGCTGATTGGTCGAGGTCGTTATGGTGCAGTGTTTCGTGGCTGTCTTAATGAACGCTGTGTGGCCGTCAAAATCTTCAGCTCGGCCAACCATCAGAACTACACCAATGAGTGCTCCATCTATAGCCTACCGCTGCTGCAGCAACACGACAACATCGCCTGCTTCCTGATGGCTGACGAGAGGACAACAGCCAATGGACGACCGGAGTTCCTGATCCTCATGGAGTATTACTCTCATGTAAGACATCTGTTAAATGAGTATCTCGACATGCATGCTAGCTGACTAGTGCTGTCTTTTTTATAGTGCTGTCATTCAGGCCCTGATACTTCTCCAGCTTCTCATGCTCTTTCTTGATGTCGCTGTCATTTGGAGCTGCTACGTCTTTCACTACTACCTCCTTCTGTTCTTTGTCTACCACCATAATGTCTGGTTGGTTGGCCAGTACCTTCCTGTCTGGATCCAGAAGTCCCACAGGATCTTAGCCCTGTTATTTTCCACAACCTTCTGAGGAGTCTCCCATCTGGACTTGGGAGGGTCTAACCCAGACTTAGCAGAGATGATTCTGTACACAGTGCCAGCCACTTGGTTGTGCTGTTCAGTGTGGGCTGTACCTGCCTGCATTTTACATCCCGCCACTATGTCTTGGACTCTCTGAGGCCTCTTTGCACAGTCAGCACCTGGGTTTCTGTCTGGTGGGGTGACCCCTGCTTTAATTGATCTGGTTCTTAGTGTCTGTTCTTGTGTTGCTATGATCAGTGCCTCAGTGCTGTCCGATAGCCCAGCCTTTTCCAGCCACTGGTAGGATTTTAAAGTGTCAGCCACCTTGATTATCTGTGGGTGGTTCATCCCATGGAGGGCCTTATCATCCCATGGCAATTCCTCTGGTTGGTCTTTGGTCATAGTCTGATGCTGTCTCAGACATTCTTTCAGCAGCGGATTATCACGTGACTGATCGACACACTTTCGATGAACAACTCAGCAGCAGCAGTTGTGTGATTCGCTTCTGTCTGAAATTGAAGTTTGAGGGAAAGTGGTAAAGAAAGTCTCAAGCACCATTACAACAACAGACATTCTCAAATGTAAATATCTTCATGAGCTGGTGGGAGTCACCAGCTTTGCAAAAGTCAGGAAGGCAAGCGTCAAAGTGGCCGCAATGTTTTAAACAGAGTCAGCGGGAATTTTAGAGAAGTACTTTGGCAGGTATGATGAGGATGGCTGCTATGGTAACTGTTACCAGGGCAATGAGGGCCGTCTCCTCCCGTTTGAGTGGCTGGTGGTGTGTAGGATGATGATGTCATTGTTAACATCACTGTGACATCATCAATGACATTAGATGCTCTGGGTTTCATCCAGGACAGTGGCTTTGACACTCATCAGGCCTCGTCCACCTTCTTTGCAGCTGTATACAGTCTCTAGGTGTTGGACTTCAGGTGGAAGCCTCCATGCATTGTGAGATTCTAGGTCTTCACAGCAGCAACTCCTCCTCCTCCTTTGGCCAGCTCACTATTCCGGCAGGGTACCTGATGATTGGCAGGGAGTATGTGTTGATGGCTTGGATATTGTTCCTCCCATTGAGCTGGCTTTTCAGGACCTGTCTTATCTTTTGATGGTACTTGGACATTGCTGTTCTATCTCTCTCTCTCTATCTATCTATATTTATATATCTCTCTCTCTCTATATAGATGTAGATGTAGATATAGATATAGATATATTTCCACTAAGTTCGGGATGGGAGGATGCAGTACTCTCAAAGTGCAATTGGAAAGCCAATGTCCTTGCTGACAGACTACTGTGGTCTGAAAGAGATGTAGCTGCCTGCTAATTACTACTAGGTACTGGCATCTCCAAAAACGTCTGGGCAAATTTCCAAATCGGCATAACTTTGAAAAAATGACCACATGTTCCCAGTCTAAGTGGTTACTTTATCTGTGCTGTACTTTATGCTGTGACTGATGATGCTTCACAAGTCCGCAAGAACACACGTGAAGAGAAACAGGCCCTTGACCTTCTACCTGCTCCACCAGATGAACTCTTTTAATGACTTCATGATGTTTCCTGTAGCGCCACCCTCAGGACAAACTTCATATGTGTACCTCTACTACTGTTCAGTTATCGGAACGTACAGTAGTTTGTTTTTATTGTGGCTGTAACGACCTCTGCAGCCCGCAGGTGGTGCTAACAGCAGACTGTAGTTTGTCAGCGTGGTCCCACATTCAGCTGTCGCTCCTGTGGTTCATGCGCATGCCTCTCTGACTCCCCATTAATCTTGTTATTGTGCTGAAGACGACGGCGCCTCCACTCCTGCTTCCTGTCTGGAGCCGCTGGCTGCACACACACACACACACACACACACACACACACACACACACACACACACACACACACATACACACATACACATGCAGATCCTTCTATTTGTGTGAGGACACAAATTTAATTCATCCCCTAGCCCCGTACTCTAGGGGATGAATTAAATTAAATCAAGCCATCACAACTTAATGCCTAACCCCAAGTCTTCACTTAACCCTAACCTAAACCAGAGTCTAAACTGAACCCTAAAACAAGGACTGGACAACATGTCCTCACAGCGTAGAAATGTCCTCACAAAGATGGTCTCAATCTAAACTGTGTCCACACAACCATACAGAAACAGGTACACACACAGTGTAAATGTAATTTGTAGTATCACTCGTTCACAAGCTTGCACACAATTTCAGCTTCTTGTTTATAAGCACACACTGTTTACACACACACACTGTTACACAAAACATGCAACACACACATTGTCTAAAGCTTCTATTCCACTGCCTGGTACCAGCTCAACGCAACACAGTTCTACTCCACTCTATTCACTTTTGGTACCAGGAGCTTTGTTTTCCACTGCAGACAGCTGCCCTCAGTGTAGCTGGTTGTCACAGCGGCACCACATGAAACTACTGTGAAGTGGTTGGCCCATGGTGGCAGGCCAGGCTCAACGCTGTTATCACGTTCATCCTAGGACTGTTATATTTTTTCAGGTGAGAAAATAACCATCTAGTTTTCAAATATATGATCAGTGTATCCAAGTAATGCCATTTACAAATGTACTCGACGTTTTCAGAGATGTGATGACCTGCTAACGAGCCAGCCAGCTAGCTAGCTCTACCTAGCAGGCGTAGCTGTAGCCGTTGTGCTCATATTATCACATTCAGTAACCTGTGGGCTACCTGATAAGATGTGTGGTGGTCCACGTTATATAACAGTTATATTATATAGTAACGGAGGCTTGAGGCCTCTTATCTCCATAAATGTTATCCTCTATAACACACACAAGAGAGAAGTGGCAGCTACTATTATGGATGAATGAAGAACGAACGACTGGTATCATCACTTGTAAACATCCGGGTCCATTGGTGGTCAAATTTCTCTGACCAATCGCTAGTCTGCAGTGTTTACATGTCACTGTTTGGTATCACCTCAGCTCACTTGGAACCAGGTACCAGGTACTACCCCCAGCATTTGACTGATGGAAAAACAAATAAGTCAAGCTGAGTCGAGTAAAGTTGAGCCGGTACCAGGCGGTGGAAAAGGGGCTTAACACACACATGGAGTGTAATGTCTCCAGTTGGCTTACTGCATTCCTCTGTAGCAGTCATACAGTGGGTGTCTGCACACACAGCTCTCAATAGTCACTGTTCAGTGTAGGATTGGATTTTTGTATGTGCATGCACAGATATGGTTTTTAATTCCGAAACACATTTTATTGACTCTTCCAAACATATATCCTCTGATAATATTAGACTTAGTTAGAGCTAGGTGTTCTTAATAAACTGATCACTGAGTGTGTGTATATGTACTGTATATACAGTGTGTATGTTGTGTGGTTTGTGCTAAAAATAAAGTACAAATAAATCTCTTGTCCTATGTGTCCGTCCATCAGGGCTGTCTGTCCCAGTACCTGTCGGCCCACACGGTGGACTGGTTGACCTGCTGCAGGATGACTCATAGTGTGACCAGAGGACTTGCCTTCCTGCATACCGAACTCTACAGAGGAGGTGCACCTCATGTTATTATCTCACCTGTGTGTGCCGCATTTTTTCTTACCTCTCAGTAGTTTCCTGAAACAGCTGCTCATATAGTTTTTGTCAAACAAAAACTATATGGGGGCATACATGCAGAACAGTCACCGGTGATCGTGGTACCACACCTCAAGCATTAACATAACATGCACAGTGTGTAAAGAGGCACTTATACTGGTTTAGAGGTTAAAGGAGTAATTCACTCATTGGTTTAGGGGTAAAACAGGAACTTCAGTGAGCGGACTCAGGCAAAGCGGTGAAGACGTCACGTCTGCCAGTCTGTGTTCTGCTTGTTCAACAGCTGTTTGATAAACCGCTCATACAGTCTCTTTTACTGGCTGACTGTTGCACTGCGGAGAGATCCTTCACATTCTCTGCTCAGCTGGGAGAGTGTGAGGTGCAGCCCCTCCCTCCTCTAAACAGAGACCACCACAGGAAAAATACAGTGGAAAACAAAGCAGGACGGTCCACGTCAACCCTGGAGCTTATGTGGGGCGAAGTATGGGGTATACTGCTCATTAGTTTCTGATAGTTGAAAAGCAGCATTGGTGGCAGCAGGATGGTGTCGGTGGGACTGAGTCAGAATAAGATACAGTGTGTGTGTGTTCATGGTGATGAAGGAACATGCCAGCCAGTGCAGCCGCGCCATGGGCCGCAGAGCTCCAATGTGTCCAGAATCTGTTCAGCCCACCAGTGACCACACTGGTATGGAATTACTACTTTTACTTCAGTGAAGGACCCGAGTACTTCTTCCGCTATGTTAATCCCTTTTTTAACTGGACTGTTTTTGTCTGATTTGTTTCTATTTTGAGCAGGAGAGTCGAATGTCTTTGAAGTCAGTTGTTCTTTAATTGTTGGACTAGTTCCTCTCGCTTTCTATTTTTTCTTCTTTCTTCTGCACAAAAGCTGCAGTGTACCAACGGCACACACAGAGCCGTGTTGCTGCTGACACCACCTGAATGTTAAACATGTCCCAGACCAAACAGACTCTGCACATGATAAAGATAATTAAGTGTCTCTCCAACACACAGTGGCTGCTGTTCACTGAAACAATACAGCAGGAGTCTGGTACAGTGCCAGAGCAGCACTGTGCTCCCTGGTGGCCACACAGACATGCCAGCTATTGTTAGAACCAGGTTTTATAAACACAAACCAGGGTTAGTTGGAATTGACTAATTGGTTTTCTGCCTTTCTCAGTATTTCCTCTTTATAATTTACAGCTGCAGATATAGAAAATGAGAGCTGCTGTTCTGTAATTATGTTTTGCTTCTGTGATCTTAAGAATAAATAGTAATATTGAATGCCTCATTTTCTGGAGCATAAAACGTAGTTTTTTAGTTAATGTGATACGTATCTTGGTTTCACAAGAACACATTTGGTTTTCTTATATTAACAGGATAAATATTTGTGAGAAAACCAAAGCCCATTTTCTTCAGATAACAGGATTAATACATGAAAAACAAAAGGCGGTGCTGTCAGTACAAAAATGTAAATATTTCATTGTCACAAGAGCAAAATGTAGAAGGATACATTTCTAAGATTCATAAAAAACAGAAGGCGCATTTCTCATGAGGAAACAAAAGATGTACACATGATAATTTGTCTGTCTAATATGCAAATCAAAACAATAAATAATTTTTGAAATAAAAGAAAAAATGTCTTGTTTTTATGCAAAAATAAAAGGTCAAATAAAACCAGGAGCTGCTGAGAGCTGTGATTAAAACTTTAATTATGACAATAAAGACATGTTTGAATGTGACACCCTGGCCTTTGTCTCTACTCAGACCAGTATAAACCAGCAGTGGCCCACAGAGATGTGACCAGTAGGAACGTCCTGGTCCGAGCCGATCTGTCCTGCGTCCTCGCTGACTTTGGTCTGTCCATGAAGCTGACAGGAAACCGGCCTTGTCGCCCGGGAGACGACGTCACCATGGCCATATCTGAGGTCAGGTAACAGGTGGAGCAATGATGATGGTGCCGATGCAGGTGTACATTGAGGCAGTGAGGCAGATGAGTTCATGTGTGTGTGTGTGTTTGCAGGTGGGGACGGTGCGATACATGGCTCCGGAGGTTCTGGGTGGAGTTCTGAACCTCCGGGACTGTGAGTCAGCATTGAAGCAGGTGGATGTTTACGCTCTGGGTCTGCTCTACTGGGAGAGCTTCAGGAGGTGCTCCGACCTGTTCCCAGGTGACACAATGCTGCGATGCACAAACACACAACATCTCACATACAGGACATGCAACATATCACATGAGGCACACAGCTTCAAACTTCAGCTTTGTTGTTTTGCCAGAAGGACATTCGGTTTGCAGCCATATCATCCAAGTACAGTGCGACAAGTAATGTGTCGTGTGAAACTCACAAAGCAATATTAAAAGAAATATTAAGGATGTAAAAGATTTCTGAGAATGTAAATGACATACATATGTACAGAATAGGTGTATTATTCTATATAGTTTTTATATACAGAGACATATTCATTATGTGGACTGGCAACCTGTCCAGGGTGTACCCTGCCTCTTGCCTGCAGCTGGCTGGGATTGGCTCCAGCCCCCCGTGACCCCGTTTGGGACTAAGCGGTATAGAAAATGGATGGATATTCGTTACATGTTGCCAGTGTCCCCGTTAACGATATAAGAATAATGACATTTCAGTTAATCATCAGGTAACTAAAGTAAATGTTAAATATTATTTATGGTAAAAGTACCAAACTTTTTCTGATTCCACTTTCTTCAGTGTCTCAGATGTTTTGCTTTTATATCATTTATGTCACAGTAAAGTGAATATTTTTTCATTTTGGTCTGTTATGTGAAGACATTACTTCAGAGTCAGGGAAAGCAAGATGAGCATTTTTTTCACCGCTTTCTGACATTTAATGGACTTAAAGTTTCACCAAATTGTCTAATGAAATACCACAGCTAATTACAGGCTGTCCTGTGATGAAATGCTGTAAAATGTATTATCATAGCAATGTTTGACATTTACCTCATCTATGTATTCAGGTGAAGCAGTACCTGACTACCAGCTGGCATTCCAGGCCGAGCTCGGGAACCATCCAAGCTTCGAGGACATGCAGATCCTCATCACCAGAGAGAAGTACCGACCCAGATTCCCCGAAGCCTGGAAGGAAGACAGCTTGGTCAGTTTTCACCTGTTAGCACATGTTCAACTCACAGGTTATTGTTGATGCTTTGACCCGCAGGTCCTGAGTTTGATCATAATAATTCCATATGGACCGACATGCCCCTGTATCAGAAACCAGTTGGTGACTGGAGGCTTCAGATGAAGGATCATAGCATAAACATAGTATAAGCATGTTTCCTTGAGGCCTCTCTCCTTGCAATTTTTCTTCATATCTTTTCCTCTCATTTTATGTGGACAGGATTAAGCTGCAAGAAAAAGATGCATGTAAGAGAACCATGGGTGCAGTTAAGAGAATTAGGATTTGCTCTCTCTGTTCCTGGCTGACAGGCTGAATTCAGGGTATAAAACCTTCCTAGAATTTTTCTGTACTGTTTAGTTTAAGATCAAAGTTGTGTTGTGGAAATGATGGTATCACTCATACTCATGGTACTGCATGGTCTAAACCTCACTATGTGAAACACCCTGCGATGATTTTTGTTACCTGGCGATATTATGTTTTTTAGATGTTGCGTTCACTGAAGGAGACAATGGAGGACTGTTGGGACCAGGATGCCGAAGCTCGACTCACTGCTCAGTGTGCAGAGGAGAGACTGTCAGAACTCGCGCTGCTGAGTACACACACCGCAATACACAACCATAGGTATACACACAACAGCTGGTAAACACACACAGTATATAAAGGACTACACTGTACTGGTTTCCTGATTTGTACCTTTATCTCACAGGAATCTGTCTCATGGCCACTGGCCTCCTCAGATGGTGCCCACCTCCAACTACATTGAGGATTTGCAGGCGGACATGGTCAAAAATCTCCAGGGAGGCAGACACACAGCATCTGTTGACAAGACAACCACAGGTGAAGCTGAATCTGCTAAAAAGAACAGGAACTCCATCAACTGTGAACGGCAGCAGGCCCAGGTAGAATTTTACCTGGTGTTAAAGTCAAAACAAAACAAGCTGGTTATTCTTGGAATGTCTTCATTCTCGCTCTCTTTTTCTGTCAGAGTCGGGCTCGGTTGTCCAGTTTAGACAGTAGTGTGTCTACCACCGCCGCCATGACACCCGCCACCATCCTATGCACCATCTCTGAGCCTGAACACACAGGTTTTATATACACACACACACACACTCAAACCTAAATGTTATTAATGATGTTTCCGAACACCACAACCAATGTTATGAAGACATATTTACGCCTGCTTTCAACCAAATGCAGAAACTTTTGCAGCAAATTTCATCACAACCCATCCAACAGCTGATGAATTATTTTACTAAAGAAATACAAATGTGAACCTCAAGCTACATTCAGAATCAGAATCAGTGCCAGGTGCATTGGACATGAGGAATTTCACTCTGGTACATTGGCTCTCAATGTATATGTACCGTACATATCCCCATGCAAGGCAACAGCAAGGGGCAAGTAAACAATATGCCAACATAATGCTGTGTAGTATAATAAAAATAAAACAGTGTAAACAAGCAATAAACAATGCAAACAATGCAAAATAAACAGGCAATAAACAATTCAAACAGGCAAAGGAATATTCATTAGGAAGTGAGATAAAAATAGAATAAAAATTGAGTACTTAAAAATAGAGACCTGTACGGATCTGTATAATCTGTACAATGTATATTTACTGGTATTGCACTGGGGGAAGGTATTGCACTGAGGGTTATTGTCCAGTCATACTGTCCTGGGTTAACTGTTAAGCAGAGTGATGGCTCGGGGGAAGAAACTGTCCTTGTGCCTGGTTGTCTTGGTGCACAGTGACCTGTAACGCCGTCCAGAGGGGAGGAGTTCAAACTGATTGTATCTGGGGTGTGAGGGGTCTGCAGTGATCCTCTCCACCCTCCTTTTGACCCGTGAGGTGTACAGGTCCTCCATGGAGGGCAGGCTCACACCAATTGACCTTTTCTGCAGTCCTGACTGTCCACTGAAGTCTGTTCCTGTCCTGTTTGGTAGCTGAGCCAAACCAGACAGTCACGGAGGTGCAGAGAATAATCAAATCACATTGCCATCCATAATGCCGTGCTGCTAGCATGGCTTAAACCTCGGATTTGAATTTGGCCCTAACCCTTCCATCTGCACAAGGACATGTTTGGACTTAAATTAAAATTAACTCATTGTAATTGAACGGCCGCAATCAGTGGACTTTAGCACGAATGGCACGGTTTTAGTAGACAATTTACAAATGCCATTGAACGTGTCATCTGTAATTTGAAATTTTTCTGAATTGTTGT